TTTTTTTTTTTTTGCAGTTTTATAAAGATAAAAGGCTATTTTGTTATTGTTCTTCATGGAGTTTTAATTTTATCAATATGGTTGAAGCTATATTTGCATATGTTTGCTATTTTCAGTTTCTTGTGTTACTGTTCTTGTTCTTTGTGTCTATAGCAGCAACATAAGTCCTCCACATTCTAATTAGAGATGGTAGCCTTTGTCCATGATTTTTGTTGTAATTATTTTTTTCTCTTAGTATTTTGTTTTGGTTTTGTTTGGTCTATAAAATTGATTGCAGTCATTTATCTTTTTTCTGATAGTTTCTGTTGTTGACTTAACAGAATCTGTTGTTGACTTTAGAAAACTCCTTTAGCTGATGGACATGCTATATTTTTTGAGGCCTACTTTTAAAGATTCTTTTTTTAATTAAGAGTTTTCTGTATTGGTGTTTCAACAAACATTGTTCTGCAGGTATGGAAAAATAAAAACAAAACAAAGCATTCCAATTTTAAGTATTTGTATATTTTAATTGGAAGTTATTGAGATATAGAGTTAAGCATGTTTCTTTAAAACATTCTAGTCTTGGGGGATGGGATTAACAGTAGCAAATATCTGTCTGGGGATGGGGAAACACCTCTTATCAACAGGGTGCCTGAATGAAACGTAATTGTACACCTAACCCTTAACTGTACTCCACAAAACCATAATAAAAAATATTGATTAAAAAAAAAAAATTCTAGTCTTTGCTATTCAATTTACATTGAGTATCTCTAGGAAAAAGATATAGTTAGAATGTAGTATTTTCCAAATGTGTTATTAACTCTTTTTCCTCAGAATACTGTTCAGCATCTCTCAGAAACAGATTTCTACAAACCACAGTATAGGAACTGCTGCTTTAATACATTTGGTTATTTTTTTTTTTACCCCAGTCAGTTTTTTCATGGGAAGCAATCTTTTATTTTTAGTACTCTTTATGCAAATGCATAGCTAGGGCTTCTTGGTCTCCTCTGCCTTATTAGGTCTGTATCTCTTTAAAAACAAACAAACCACTACTCAACAATGACCAGGTCTAGGTCCACAGCTCTGAGGTTTGTTTTGGTGAATAAACAAGCAGTCTAAACTCATTAGTGAAGCAGAGACATCACCATAGTGGCCTATAGTTTATATTCTCTTCAAACTTCTGTCCTCAGAAATAGGGAAATGAGACATCTATAAAAAGCTTTAGCAGTATCATCCTTGGGCATGATAAGTAGTGGAATAAAAACATATTTTTTAATTTGAGACATAGACAGGGCAGAAAGAACATAGGCTTTAGAATTAAACTTTCCAGGGTTAAAAGCCTAGTTTTGCCATTTACTGTTTTTTTTTTTTTTTTTTTGGCCCTGGATGCCCACTTCTGACTCAGTTTCTTTTTCTCCAAAAGGGCATCATTAATGCCTTTCTTATTAGATTGACAAAGTCTTTGAATACGAAATTCAAGGTGGACCTTTCAGACAACTTCCTGGAGATCTGAGGATGTAAAACAAGGACACAGAAAAGGCTAGAGTTAGAATCTGAGATTAAAGCGGTGACTTACCCTTTTAATTGTAAGGAAATTTTAAATGTAAGATCCTTCCCCAGTCTGTTTCAGTGTTTATATTATTTGTGTTACTTTTTAAAAATCAAAATTTATTTAAAACAAAATCTAGCATGCTAAGGGAGTTGAAGCAGAAGAATAATGTCCCTAAGACTTAAAAATATCTGATTTTCAAAAATTAAAGCCAGAATAGACTGCAGATTGGTCTTGTTAGTCTTAACACATTTCCAGATGAAGAAGCTAGAAACCAGAGAGATCTGAGGGGCAGTCAGATACGGATGCCAGGTATTCCGTATCCGGCACAGGGTTCTTTCTGTGCACTGTGCACTTCAGATCTCTTCCTCACATGTAGTCCTGAGGCATAGGGTCAGCAAGCTAGCTCTTCAACTGGAAAAAGAAGAGGGGAAAAAAAATTCACACACGTGTAGATAGTATCTTAAAAGATTCATCGCCTCTCTTTGTCAGAGATGGAAACGTAAGGAAAAAGTTATAATCTGGTAAGTGCTCTCATAGCACTAGTGGATGAGGAGAGATTATTTCCTAATTAGGGAAGGGTAGAAGTGAAACTTTCTTATTGGGTGATAAAGTCCAATTTTAAAGATTGAGCATGAGTTTGTAAGATTGTTAAGAAGATGGTGGAGAAAAGACAGAGAGAGGCATTATTCAGAAAGGAGAAAATTTCAGTTATGAGGATTAGCGTCTTTGGAGCCACAGAGGCTCCAAAGAGGCCTGATACATTTGGGCATCTCTGTCTCGGAGAGTCAGGAATATAAAGTGGAAAATGACAGTGGCACAATAGGCCGGCAGCACAGGAAAGTCTGCAGAAGCAGTTTGAGGTGAAGTAAAGAAGGGCTTTATGAGCCGCGGTCTTGGTTTCCACTCTGTTCTGGGTTTGAAAGCCACTGAGTTGCACGGCAGATGCGTACACTGGAAACACTCTCCGTTGGTGTGGAAGACGCATGGGTGAAGGGTGAAGGTTGAAGGCGGGGCACCGCTGGCGGCCTGCCTGTGGCAGCTCTTGCCTGGGCTGGTCAAGTCCGACGGACGGCAGGAGCCCTGCAAATGAGTCTTAGAAATGCGGTGAAAGAGCCCGGCATAGGGGTGTGTGTCTGTGGTCCCAGCTCCTTAGCAGGCGGAGGCAGGAGCGTGTCTTGAGTCAGGAGCTCAAATCCAGCCTTGGTAACACAGCAAGACCCCCGTCTCTGTAAAAAGGAAACGAATTGCTTCAGAGATGGAATTGGCAAAATGTGGTGGCCTGTGGAGTACAGAGGGTTAAGCAAGGACTGTGACTTGGGCTTCCAGCTGAGCATCTTGATGCCATCACTGAGGTACTAAATGGACGTGGGGGAGAGGGGATTTGGGGGAAGCGTTGAGTTTAGGTGTGGTCCCAGAGGAGGAAGTGGATTGAGCCACCACAGAAGTACTTCAGAGACGTTCTCTTGGTGCAGTATGCAGTTTAGTGGCTCCTTCCTTTCCAGTCTTGTGCCTTTCCCTCCGTTCTCAGCACAAGTCAGAGTCTTTTTCTCAAGGTTAGAATGAATCACCTCTTTCTTTTAAAACCCCAGTGACTTCATCTTGGACAGGCCATTGCCTCCAGAATAAAATCCAGACTGCTTTCTGTGACCTTTTCCTCCCTGTGTGACATGCCCCTGTCCCTCTCTTTCCATTCTCCATGTAGTCCTTTGCTTCAGCCACCTGGTCTCATTGATGCTTAATACCAAGCATATCTCTTCTCAGAAATGTTGGCAGGTACTTGGTTGTTCTCTGTCTCATTCACCTTGAAGGAGAGAGTGGTCTAGTCTTCAGGCATCCCCACACCTAGTACAGACCTGACCTCTGGAGACATAGGTCTTTGTGAAGGCAGGAGCCTGACGGATGGGTGTTCCTGTTCATCCCCTTCATGTTTAGTGCAGACTGAACACAAGAGTGACCTCCCAGTGGGCTAGAGCAGGGATTAGAATTGTCAGGTAAGAAGCTAGTCCTCTTTAATAAATAAGCTCCTGTTGTCTTTGCTGACCCCAAAGATAAGCCCACTTATTCTTTTCTAAGATTTTTGCCAGTCACTCTCAGGAGTGTTTTTCAAGAGTCATCAATACTTTAAAGGACGTCTGGAAGCTTTCAAAATCCTGTGCATCTCCACATGTTGTTGTGGTTGGTTATTAATACTAAACCTATTTTCTGTGTGTAGGTACACATGCCAGTGATCAGTTTTAGTGAAAATGATGTCTACTGCCAAGTCTCTAGTTCTCAATTAGTAAAGTCTGTGAGGGCTACAGTTCCCAGGGTGTGCCTGATGCTAAATAGAAAGCCTCCCTGGTTTTGGCTAACATTCAGTATGCCAAGCAAAATATTTAGCAGGTGGACCTACACGAAGCGGTTGATACACAGCTCAAGTTCGACCTGCTTGGAGGGCACAATCCCAGCAAGCTATAGGTTGACTCTTTCCCACTTTGCTTTTTGTCTTTTTTCCTCTGCCTTTAAAGAGTTGCTTAATTTCTCAGAGAAAGTGCTGATCTCAGCTACTCTTTGGCTCCTTTACAATGAGCCTCCCGGCATGAGAAGGAAAAGGCTTTTGAAGCTGTTTGTCTCGTGGGCTGATTACTGACTCCTTGGCTGACCTTTTTGAGGAGTTCTCTATCTTCTGGACCCCACTGGATCAGGTTGACAGGTTGGAGAGCAACTTGGTTTTGAATGCAGGCTTTAGGGTTAGGAAGATCTGGTTTTGAACTTGACTCTGTCTTACTAGCTGAATGGTTTAGGGCCATTCTGATGTTTAGTTTCCTTATCTGTAAAACATGAGTAATAGAATCCTTCTTATAGGCCAGATGTGGCAATGGCTCAATCCTGTAATCCCAGCTCTTTGGGAGACCAAGACGAGAGGATTGCCTGAGCTCAGGGGTTTGAGACTAACCTGAGCAACATGGTGAGACCTCATGTCTATAATTTAAAAAAAAAAATTAGCCAGGTGTGGTGGTGCATGCTTGTAGTTCCAGCTACTTGGAAGACTGAGGCAGAGGATCACCTGAGCCCAACAGGTCGAGGCTACTAAGGCTGTGAGCATGCTACTGCACTCCAGCCTGGGCGACAGAGTGAGACGCCAACTCAAAAAAAAAAAAGAAACTCTTATAAGTTACTATAAGGATTAAATAAGACGACATAAGATTAATGACAATGACACAGTGTTGTTTTTATCATCTTCATCAATATGCAGGAGAAGGCAGGCAAAATTAGCTAAGATAAAACTCTGAGGATCATTGGGAAAAGGAGGAGAAGAGGCCAACACCCGTCTGTGCCAGGTGTTGTGTGAGGATGGCGGCGTTAACTGTACCATTAGTGTCAGAGAGAGCGACTAACTTGACCACAGTCGCGCAGTCAGTGGGTGGTAGCCAAGCAGGAAGTAGCACAGGCCTCCTTGGCCTCAGAGCCGAGCATCATGCTTCTCAGGATGGTACTTGCCTCCACAGTCAGGCTCTCCTTCCAAGAGGCAAAGGCTGGACCCATTAACAAGTGGTAGTTGATTTCTCGAACGTGGATGATCACTGAGTACTGTAGGCACCCCTGGTAGTAACTTAGTGCCAGATGGTGTGGGACCAAATCAAGGGTTCAGTGATTAGAGGCAGAGAATGTGCTTCCCAAAGAACCACAAGACTTGGCTTAGCTGTCGGAGATGGGTTAGTTTCTCATTACAGGATGCCTGGAATGGCTGTACTTTATAGTGACAGGCTTGACTTCAAAAGTCGTGAACGAGATCTGCTTCACTTGCTCTATACACAGTGTTGAATCTGCCATCAGTGCAAAAGGCAGAATGGCTTAGTGCAAAGGGCATGATTTGACAGCAGGCCCAGATCTTCCCCTCACTCATCTGATCCCCTCTGGGCCTGCTTTTCCCATCTGTGGAAGGCACAGGGCTGGGAGGGAGGGAGGCCCTTCACCCCAGCAGCTTCCTCTTGCCTCCATTACATGTGGGACTTCTCACGGCTTCCTTTACAACCTCAGCGTGGTTAATTGCCAGGAGTGTGTTTCACCCGGGTCCTAAGCCTTCACAGGGGAGTATACAGTGACTTCATCATTGATATTTCATAGGTGTGACTGACTTTTGGAAAGCAAGATGAGGCTTGGGAACCATTGTAGCCTAGATAAGCCCTGGAGAGATTAGAAACTGATTATTTCTACGTATGCTACCCAAGCAAAAAATATATGCTGCATTATTTACTTTAGTTAAGATAGTACTTCCTTTCAGTGACTGAAATAAACATTAAAGTTTTAAAACAAATGGTACATGAGAAATATTCAGCAACATAATTGAATGCCAGTTTTGTTCTACATACTTTTACTTCTAGATGCTTTTAATATAGAGGCATATAGAATTTGACTGATATTTATTGAGACTTACTCTGGGACTAGTGTAGTCTTTGCCCACAAAATGTGTACACATCTGACAAATAATTTGTGTTTGCACAGGGAGGCCAACTTTTATGAATTGGAGTTTTATGTGGTACCTTTTCTTTGGCTTGGAAACTTGATAGCCTTGTGGTGGTTTCTTTCATGGAATAGATCCTTAGAATCATTCCAGAAACATCGCTGAAGGTGGTACATTGAATCTTGTCACAGATCTGAACTGTGAAGTAAGTTGTTGGGGGGGGAGGGCAGACCCTTAAAATTTTAGCCTCTGCAACGCTTTGCCATTCCCAGGTCAGAATCCACCCTATTCAGCTCTAGGTACCACAGAGTAGCAGTCGCCAACCTTTTGGCATCGGGGACTGGTTTCGTGGAAGACAGTTTTTCCATGGATGGGGGTTGCGGGTCGGGTGAGGATCATCATCAGGCATGAGGAGCGCGCAGCCCAGATTCCTCGCACGCGCAGTTCACAGTAGGGTTTGTGCCCCTGGGAGAACCTGATGCTGCCGTGGATCGACTTGCCCATTGCTCACCTCCTACTGCGCAGCTCCGGTCCTAGCAGGCCCCAGACCGTTACCAGGCCACAACCCAGGGATTGGGAGCCCCTGCCACAGAGGACATTCAGTGTTTCGATTGAAATATGTATATTTTTAAATTTTATTTGTTTATTATTATTGTTTAGTCAGAGTCTCACTCTGTAGCCCAGGCTGGAGTACAGTGGCACCATCACAGCTCACCACAGCCCCAAACTCCTGGGCTCAGGTGATCCTCCTGCCCTAGCCTGCCAAGTAGCTGGGACTGCAGGTGTGCACCACCACACTCCGTTAATTTTTTATTTTTAGTAGAGATAAGGTTTTGCTGTGTTGCCTGGGCCAATCTCGAACTCCTGGTCATCCTCCCACCTTGGCCTGCCAGAGTGCTGGGATTATAGGCATGATCCACCACACCCGGCTGAAATATGTATGGCTGCAGGAGAATCTGATTCTTAAGGACATTTTTTTTTAAAGTCTGAAACAACACAGATAAACAGCTTAAAACCTTTTTTTCCAGATGGTGTATACACTTTCCATTTTTTGGCTGTGTTATGCAAATCAAATTTTATTTTAGGTTGGCCATTTCCCCTTGTGTAGCAGCCTCATTCAACACATATTAATCTTGAAACTCACGAATGATAACATCTTTACCTCTTCCTTTTATAAAAGCTGCTGTCGCTATGTCCCTCTTCCTCTGTTAACAGGTATCTAGGCTGTTGAACTCTCCTGTAAGTGCTGGTATTGTATAGGTGTCAGACGGGATGGTTCTTAGTAGCCCACACTTCATCTCCTCATACTGCTTTAATTGGGGCTATACTTCCTGTTTCTTCTCCGCTCCTCTCTACCATGACTGTCTTTCCTGCCTGCTTCCTAATCTCCATTCCTTCCTTCCGTGTTCCAGGAGGAGTGTCAGGTGGTGCACCGTGGATGTCATCTCCTCCAGGATTGAGGGAGATGAGAATGGAGATGGCATGGCAGCACCTGACCCCCCGTGGGCACTCTAAGTTCCCTTCTTCTCTTCTTTCTCCCTTTCCTCTTCTTTTTGTTGTTTCTGGAACCCCATGGCACGCACTTTGCTCTTCCAAAAGTGTGCTACATACAGACAGGCCACGTTTCATTCGCATGTGTATCTTTATTGCCTGACCCACAGCCCCTGATAGTGAATGTTGGTGAATGAATGCATGGAAAGATCATCCTAGTGGGGGAAATTGATGGCAAGTATTCTAGACAAATTAGGTTTACTTTCTTTTGTTGCCACCACATTTACCCTCTCAGGTGAGGGGATGGGTCTCTCTGGTCAGGACTCATTGTCCCCACATGTCATTTTGACTTCTTCCACAGTCCCTGGGAATGGACATGCTTGTTTCACTTTCAAGTAGTCAGAAGGTTATGGGACCATCTCTTCACTGGTATAAGAGGGATTGAGAGAGGTAGGTATCTGTCCACAAAATTCATTTGGGCTACAATTTTCTTGAAACCACCTACAGGTCCTCAAATGTCACACATAGACATAAGAGAGGTATTTTTTCAGGCATTCATTTGCTAGTTTATTCAGTCAGCTTCTACTAAGTGCCCCAGTAAGCCTGATACCAGACTACCTGTCGGGGCCTTTTTTGTCTGGATCCAAGGTTATAACAGGGTAATCTGCACACCCTTGATTCAGCCCTCCTGCTAGGTCAGTGAGGTGGGAGGATCACCTGAGCCCAAGAGTTTGAGCTGCAGAGAGCTGTGATTGTGCTACTGCACTCTGCGTGGGCAACAGAGTGAGATACTGACTCAAAAAAAAACCCATGCATTTTTGACGTGACCTCTCTGAATGTAGTGTAAAGCAATAAAGTAGAAGCACTGCTTTGTTTTGTTTTGTTGAGTAAAAATTCTTTTCATTAAAGACATCACTTTAGTATAGGAGTACTTGCTGCAGATGTTTTGCTGTCGCTGCTCCATGTGCTTCAGGACTTTATCTCTTGCAGCCACCTTCGGAGGTAAGGATAATGATAGCTAGTCGTTTCTGAGCACCCACCCTGTGCAAGGTTTTGTGCTGGCCACTTCTAGGTACATTAATGTACTGAATGCCTAGAGTACTCCTGAAAGATAGGTGAGATTTCTGTCTACCTTGGCATGTCTCTAGGACATTCTATGCTATTATTTTATTGTCATGCATTGTTTCCTGTCTCTAAAAGTGTGTTCATTCCATTTAGCTCCAAAGATTTGTGGTTCTTTTCAAAAATCAAATTTACCCAAAATAAGAGCAATTTTTCTACTTGAGTATATTGAAAAGGAAGTGCCACAGACTTAGATAGTAATTCTAAAGTAGAAAACCTTAATGAATAATGATAGGAGTACTGCCATAGTTCACTTAACATAAATATGGTTCAATAAAATGTTTTTACAGAAAGTTGACAGAATAACTGTTTTAAGATATAAAACACACTTGGAATGTATAAGTTCTGCCTATCCTGTTAATCCATTACTCAGCACTGTATGGTCATATCTCTTACACATTTAGGACTTTGTGTACATATAACATATATATACATTTAAGCTTTGACTCTTCAAAACTGTTATGTGAAGAATTATAGAGGGCCATGTCTTCTGGGTCTAAAACTATTTTATTCACTCATTTTCAAGGCAGTTCTTTAAGTTGCATGCTTCTCTATTTTGTGGAACTGATTAAACTGAGGAGTTCATTTATTCAGTCATTTGTTGCTTTATCCATATACTTTTTTGAGCATCTGTTATCTGCTAAACACTGGGAATGGGAAATCAGCTGGGACACATGGCTCTTGCCTCCTTAGAGTTTTCATTCTTCTTGTAGAGAGATAGAAATACCATAAAAGTAAGCAAATCACAAGCAGGATCATTTCAGGGTATGGTAGCACTCATGGGAAAAGTAGCATGACATATATTTGAGATTAACCCTTGGGTGAACTGAGGGTGTACACTGCTTTAGGGTGTCCATGGAAGTCTTCTTTAGGAAGGGACTTTTAATATGAAGCATATGTAAGAGCCAGTCATCCTCAGAGCTTGAGGGAAGGGAGTTCCAGGCTGAGGACTTAGCTAGTGCAAAAGCCCTGAGCTGGAAGCCATCATGGCCAGATTTATGAATATCTCTAAGAACATCTGTACTTACACTCTATGGAATCCAGAGACACCACTTGGCCTGGAGGGGTACAGAAAGTCCCATATCCTACCTTAGTGGCCTCAGACTCGAGGAATTTTCCATTCTTATGTCCCATCTGTATAATTGTTCTAAATCCTGTTAGTTGCCAGCTTTCACATAGTGCTTCTGTCTCAGTATGGTTTCTCAGCAGTCTCTCTCTTGTTTGCAACAGCGTATATCTTCTCTGTGCCTGGCATTCAAATGACCAAACTTGTTAGGATTATGTGTGAAAGTAAATAAAAGGTCTTCATATCAAGGTTGGAAGTGCTCTTCGGGGTTGACATCCCTGCTCTTTAGTTATATAGAGAGTGTGATGTTGCTGTATTGCAAAATTTAAGACAAGTATGGTGGCAATCAATCATTAGAGTTAGGCATATTCTTCTGTATTTATTTATTTGT